TATAAACTGTTCTTTGCCCTGAAGGTCTGATAGGACATTGCCCATAAATCGCTGGAATGTCGCGGGCGCGTTATGGAGACCGATTGGCACGCGCGTGTATTCGTAGTACCCGTAAGGGATCGAAAATGTTGTCTTCTCTGCATCTTTCTCTTCTATCCCGATTTGAAGGAAGCCGTTCGCTAAAAAAAATACGCTAAAATATTTTGCGCTTCCTAGCTAGTTGAGATTGTCCAAGATGCTGGGGAGAAAGATATGTGTCTGGGATAGATATTTCATTTAAAACGCGGTACTCTATTACCATACTCCAGCGTTTGTTCCCAGACTTCCTAGGCACGAGCCATAGGGGGACACAGAAGAGCGAACTATACCATTCTCCAAAAATTCCTTCATCTGCCTGTCGATTTCTTCCCTATGAATCGGCGATTACGGGTACTGTTTCGTGTGTTCCGATACGACATCAGTGGTCGATATTTTATGCGTTACGGTATTGTTTTCTCTAGTATATCACCAGGAAGATAGAAGAGGTCGTAGTTTGAGACGATTAGCTCATTTACGTGCTCCTTCTCTTTTGTATTTTCTAAATGATTCATAGAAATAATCTTTTAATTCGTGGATTCGTTCGTCTATGCTAAGCTCGCGCTCATAGCAAGGACTTGCGAATCTGATTTAGGATTTAAAATTTCTAATTCTAAAAAATATCTTGGAGTGGAGCTAGTGGCGTAAACAAAATTGTCTTAACCTCTTCCAGCTCGTAGTATTTCTTAAAATTGTCTTAACCTCTTCCAGCATAGTAGAAACGGAGAGAACGCGGTTTTTGTTAGATGTGCAGACCTACCTTGTGATTTTTCCGTCTTCGCAGCGGACGACAGAGTTGTGAACAATTACGTCAGAAGCCAACTCCAGCCAATGTAGGTACGCGATTGATGGGACGGTTGCACGAAGTGAAATGTACGAAAAGAAACGACATGCTAATCATTATTTTTCGTTAACTGACGAGCTGGGACGTGATAACATTGTCGAAGCATCGAAACTCAATGTTTTGGGAAAACTGTATGAAACTTGTTCCAAAATTAAAAGTTTTGGTCAGTTTACAAATATGATGCGGAAACAGTATTGAAACAGAAAATCTAATCGACACTCAGTGTTTCGAGTAAGATCTCCGAAATTTCTACTAATATCGCAAGTTTTGATCTGTTTACAGTGAAAACTACGAAAATTAAGCGAACTGCTTCGTAACAGAAAAACACATGTAAACTCAGTATTTCGTGAGAAATCTGTGAAATTTCTAAAATCACAAGTTTTGGTCAAATACAGCAAAAACTACGAATATGAAATGAGAACAGCGTTGATACAGAAAAACTCACTGAAAATCAGTTTCGTCACTGCTTCAAAAATCTACGAAATTACTAATTTCATATCGTTATCGAGGTTAGAACCTTGGTACTGGAGGTCCGTATATTTCGAGAATCGATAAACTATACTGGATCGTTCAATTATGATGGAAAGTTCTATTCTACATTATCGTTACATGGAATAGTTTGAGCGTATGGAATCGTTAAAATATATTGATTCAATATATGTCGTATATAAACTTCACATTGTACTGGAAGTCCGTATTATTCGACGATCAATACACTGGATCGTTGTATTATATTGAAAAGTTATATTCTAAGTTGTTGTTATGTTACATAGAATAGCTTAAGCACATATAGTCATTATAATATATTGATCCGATATATGTCATATATAAAATAATGTACTGGAGGTACGTACTATTCGAGGATCGATAAAAAATACTAGATGTTGTTTTGTTGTCGTTATGTTGTTTTGAAAAGTTATATTCTACGTTATCATATTCTATACTGCATTAAGACTATGTAATCTATTGACTCGATATGTATCATATACATACAAGCCTTATATTACTACCGGAGTAATCTTTGATGATTGATAAATAATATTAAATCGTTATATTATACTGAATATTTATGTTCTACGTAATCGTTGCACTACGTAGAATAATTTGAAACCATAAAACCGATATAAAATTGTAATATGAAATAAGGAAATTCATATTGTACCGGAAATTCGTAATTTTTGTTGATCGTTAAATAATATTAGATCGTTATATTATATTAAAAACTTGGGTTCTACGTGATTGTTGCTTTACGTAACATAATTGAAAACCACAAAATCGATATAAAATATTGATACGGTATATCATGCAGAAACATCATATTCTGCTGGAAGTCCGTAATTTTTGATGATCGATGAATAATATTAGATCGATATATTATATAGAAAATTTAGGTTCTACGTGATAGTTGCGCTACCTAGAATTAATTACAACCATAAAACAGATGTAAAATTGTTATATTGTATATGTCATATAGAAACTTCATATTGTACCGGAGATTATAATATTTGAGGATCGATAAATAATATTAGATCGTTATATTATATAGAAAAGAACTTCTTGCAATTGTATGGGCAGTAAAACGTTTGCGAC